GGCACCTTTGGCGACTGTAACCTCGTCATAGGTGCAACAATCCTGGAGTATTCGGTGATGAATCGCTGATAGTAGCCCGCCAACCCCATGAATGAACGAACGTCCGTTGTGTTGGTGGGCTCGGACCATACTCGTAGGGCCTCGATCTTGTCTGCAAGCGGACGGATGCCTTGCGGCGTCACATAGTGTCCCAAGTACTCTAGCTCCTGCTGTGCGAACTCGCACTTGTCGCAGTTTGCTTTGTACTTGGCCTGTCGTAGCCGCTCCAAAACGGTGCGCAGGTGTTCCACATGCTCGTCCAGACTCCGGCTGTAAACCAGAATTTCGTCGAGGTATATAAGTACGAAACGATCCAGCATGTGTCGGAACTCCGTCGTCATAGCCGCTTGGAAAGTGGCTTGGGCATTCGTAAGGCCAAATGGCATGACCAGCCATTCGAAATGCCCATACCGAGTCTTGAATGCGGTCTTGTAGCGATCCTCCTTGCGAATCTCGAGTTGGTGGTACCCTGACTTGAGATCCAACTTAGAGAAGAACTGGGCGCYGCCCAATCGCTCGAGAAGGTCGTCGATGCGTGGGAGAGGGCCGGCGTTCCTGATCGTCAGCGCGTTGAGCTTGCGATAATCGATAAACAACCGCAAATCCTTGTTCTTCTTCCGGACGAAGAGAACAGGAGCACCGTATAACGATGAGCTAGGCCGAATCCAGCCTTTCCCTAGAAGGTCGTCGAGTTGTGCCCGAAGCACACTTAACTCTTCCTYGCTCATTCGGYAGATGCAACCGCGCGGAGGTACGGCCCCGTCCTCGAGGATGATCTTGTGGCGGATGGGTCGATCCGGTACTACTCCATGCGGGCCTTCGAACACGTCGCTGTAGGCGTCGAGAAGTTCGGTGATGCGTGGATCCGAACGTGAGTCCGTCGATGAAGCGTCATGTGGCGGGAGGGCGTGGAGAAAACACCCCCCCATCTCCTCGATGTCGTCTCTGATGATGGAAGCTCGCATGCTTGCGGCGGATACCACGTGGCAGCTGATCGAAGGATGAGGAAAAGGCACCGTGCATGAAACTAATACTCCGTTCCGGTCATGAACGTGAACGGTGCGGTTGAAGAAGTTCACAGGGTGATCCTTGCTTCGCAGCCATGACATGCCCAAGATCATGTCGAATTTGGTGTCCAGAATGTCGAAGGACACCGCCTCACTTGCGTGGGGGGCAAAGTACACTAGGACGGCGTCAATGCATCGGTCGATGGACTTGTGCGTATGACCGTCTGCGAGAGTGACTTGCGTAGGCTGGGACTTCCTCCGGACACGTGGGCGGCCGGAAATGGACAGCCAGGACAGTTTCCATGGGTCAAGTTTGGCTTGACCGAGGCGGAGTACAAGATCCGCGGCCGCTACGGCAGCTGCTATTGGTGCAACAGCACCAAGCACAAGACCTCCCTGTGCCAAGATCAGGGCAAGGAGGATGTGCGACCCCGCCTCAGCTCGGGAAACTGAGCTCCGCGGAAGGTGAGGCGACTCCACATTCTACTCCGCCAGATTCGGCCGCCTTGCTAGCGGCCTCCTGCACATCTGGGGAGGATGCGAATGTCGCAAATCCTCGGTATACTTACGAGGATTATGCTGTCCACTTGGTTCCACCGCTGGACCAACCGCTCCACGTGCAACAGTCCACCGCATGCACGGTTTCATCACCATCGGCAACCGATTCGACAGCTTCGCCGCAATCTATCGCCGGGGATTCGACGTCATGGTCAAGACTTGAAGAGCTCGACCCATTGACGTTCACGGACTTCCAGTGGACGCCCGTTCCCTCGACCGGACGATTGTCGAAACCGCATTGCAACGTGCTTATGGCACAATTGCGGGACTACTTGCACACTGCAGTACCAGCTCCGTTGATGGACGCGGGAACAGAGGTTGTCGACCTTCACGCTTTCATCGCGAAGATCGACCGCGAGTTCAAGACGCAACGGTACGACGACATCGACGCACCATTGCTATACATAGGCATTCAGATCGGAGAGGCGACCTGCAGTGCCTTGATCGATTGCAGAGCATCTCACAACTGCATCAGCCAGGACTTCACCTTCCCATTGTTGCGGGACTTGTTGGTGCTTCGCGGCTGGACAGCGGCCACCTGATCTCCGTCACTTGATACTGGAGTGACTGCTGGGTTATYTCCACTGTCCTGCTGGACTGCAGCGAAGTGCTACTGTCGCGGACCAGTTCGTACCTTCTCCACATAGGTCGGCTGCCATGATGTTGATTTCTCGTGTGCAGCTGACCTGTTGGTCTTGATGATCTCCCTCGCTTTGTCAATGATCTCCGCGAAGGTTGAGTACTGCTCGCGATCACCAAGAGTCTGGCTCAATGCCGCACATGACCTGTTGTAGAACTCACGGCGTAGATGCTCGAATGGTAGGTTCAGATTGGGCACAACCGCAATCTTCTGCCACTCCGTGAGCCAGTCCCGTGTTGCTGTGTTGCCCTGTGACATGGTGAACAAACGGTTGATGGCGAGTGCCGGCACGTCGTCGACGATGAACTGCTTCTTCCACAACCGTGTCTGTTCCTCCCATGTGATTACGTCCTTCAAGTCTGGTACGTCGACGCCGTGGGAGGTTGCCAGGTGGCTCAACCAAGTCTGGCATCCGCCCTTTGAGTTCAGGAACAGGGCGCCGATGTACGCGTGCTTGGCTACTGGCAGAATCCTGAGTTGCGTTGTGAATGCTTCCCACCAGAGGACGGGATCCTGCTGCGTGTAGTCGTCGAACCTCTCCAGGTTGAAAGTTGGCATCTTGTACATCTTTGGATTGTCGTCCGCGTTTGTCGACTGCAGCTTCTGGACCTCGGTCTTCAGTGTATGCAGCTGATTGCTGATGGTGGTGGTTGGCGCAGCAAAGGTGCTGATGTCGCCGAGCATTGCCACTACGTGGTCAACGCGGTCCTCCAGTTGGCGGCTTAAGGGTGCACTGCTRGAAGCTCCAGCAGCTGGTCCTGGTACAGCCTGTTCCAGGTCCAACAATCGGGCATTGAGTGCCCGAGTTGCATCCTCGTGGCTCTGCACTGTGCGGTGGAGCGTCGCCAACTCCTGATGCTGTTGCGTCAGGTCCCGGTGCTGTCTCTCCAACTCTGACCTTTGGTAGTTGCAAGCATACAACAACAACGTCACGAGTTTGGAGAGGAACTCCTTGTGCTTTTCTTCCGGTGTTGCGTCGTCGCCGTTCGGTTTAAAATGCCAGTACTTGAGTCTGTCGATGCTGTTGGCTTCATGCCGCTGCAGCAGATCCTGGGCTTCCTTTCGGCGAGCCTGGGCATCTGCTTCTGCATCGGCCTGTAGCCGCAATTTCTCTGCTGCTGCTGCCTCTTCAGCTTGTATGCGGGCAGCCTCGACTGCCAGCAGGCGTTGTTCCTCAACCTCTATCTGAGCCAGGCAACGCTGCTTGTAGGCGGCAATGGTCTCATTGGCCAGTTGACCTGGTAGGCCCGTCATGTTGCTGACGTGGCACTGCTGATGTGGCACTGCGTCTGACGTGGTACTGCTGACGTGGCACTGCTGACGTGACACTATGTTGAACGTCACTGCTGACGTGGCACTGTGTCTGACGTGGCACTGCTGATCTGGCACTGTGACGTGGCACTGCTGACGTGGTACTGTGACTTGGCACTGTGATGTGGCACTGCTGACGTGGCACTGCTGATCTGGCACTGCTGA